TGTCTTTCTAAAGATTTATTTAATGTTCTTCCTTTTCTTCAGTTTTTTTCCTGCACTAATATAGCAGATTCCAAATGTGGTATGAACTGTGCACTCAAAACTGCTTTTTTGTGTCATTGTCCAAATCAGTAATTCCTTCAAGAAGGACTACCGTAGAACGTGCAGGGCCATGGAAGGCTGGCGAACATGAAATCGAACACCCAGTCGGTGGCCACTTTAACCACTGCATTGAACCCGATGGCGCGCATCGCCATCTTGTTGTCCATGACATTGTTATCTGAGGGGAGTGTTTCTTTGTTGTTTTTTTTTTCTTTCTATTCTGTTATTTTCCTTCTTTTATACATTGACAAGGACAACTGTATACATTAACAATAAACACGTCCCAAAAATACCCAAAAATGTAAGAAATATTCAAACATACAAAGATACTGCAGTGTCTGAGGTTTGACACCTCCCATGGAGGAAACATTGCACTGAGTATATTATTATGCTATTGGGGTAAGATTTCTTTATTTTTATATTCAATCCAAGGATTCCATAGGCGTTGTTGTGAAATAAATTTCCCAGATGAAGCTATAAAATTTCTTTCCATTATGCATTGATCATCCAATTGATTTATTATGTCTCACCATATTTGGGGTGGAGTTGATTTTATAATTAAGTAACAAAGTCTTGAGAAAAGCAAATCAGTACAAAATATTACTTCAGCAGAAAATTATTATTTATTTGTCCTTATAGTATATATCCTAGGCATTCAACATTAGGCCTGCTGGACCTCAAGGTGGTCCCAAATGCATGGGCACTGTGTCTTCAGGTGCCCAGTCAGCGTCGCTGCCCTATGACAGAGCGATTGGGCCATTGTGATGTCAGGGCTGGAAGAAAGTGACAGCTGTTCACTTCCTCCCAGCTAACACTGAGCCGCACGGGAAGAGCAGGCAGCGGCGCAGACTGTGAGCTCTGGCTCCCAACAGCCTCAGCCAGCCCCTGGACCCCACACTCCTGCATCCAGGTAGGAAACAGGAGGGTGACTAAAAAAATAAATTACATTTTGCATGTTTGCCTGTATGAATGTCATTCTGTGTATCTGAAGTAAACCCATGTTGTCTCTGATCTTGAAATCCATGTGTTTTTAGATGTTCATCAATCCTATACTTTAACATGGTTTCCATCACTTTCCCCACTACTGAAGTAAGGCTTACTGGCCTATAGTTGCCCGACTCCTCCCTATTACCTTTCTTGTAAATGGGCACAACATTCGCTAACTTCCAATCTTCTGGGACTACTCCTGTTAACAATGATTGGTTAAATAAATCTGTTAATGGTTTTGCTAGTACACCACTAAGCTCTTTTAATAGCTTTGGGTGTATTCCATCAGGTCCCATTGACTTATTTGTCTTTACTTTTGACAGTTGAAATAGAACCTCTTCCTCTGTAAACTCACGTGTAATAAATGACTAATTTATCCTTTTTCTCAACTGAGGTCCCTTTCCTTCATTTTCATCTGTAAATACAGAACAAAAATATTCATTGAGGCAGTCAGCTAGACCTTTATCCTCTTCTACATACCTTCCTTCTTTTGTTTTTAATCTAACTAATCCTTGTTTTACTTTTCTTTTCTCATTTATGTATCTAAAAAATGTTTTATCCCCCTTTTTTACTGACTGTGCTATTTTCTCTTCTGTGTGTGATTTGGAAGCTCTTATAACTTGCTTAGCCTCTTTCTGCCTAATCTTATAGATCATTTTGTCTTCCTCACTCTGGTTTTTTTTATAATTCCTAAATGCTAACTTTTTGTTTTTAACTATTTTGGCCACATCTGCGGAGTACCACAGTGGTTTCTTGAATTTTTTGCTTTTACTGACAAGCCTAATGCAATTTTCTGTTGCCTTCAATAGTGCAACTTTTAAATAATCCCATTTTCTTGGACTCCATTTAAATTGCTCCAGTCTGATAATGACTCCTCTACCCATATTCTAATTTTAGAAAAGTCTGTTTTTCTAAAGTCTAAAACTTTTGTTTTTGTGTGGTGTGACTCAGTCACTGTTCTTATATTAAACCACACTGACTGATGATCACTGGATCCTAAACTTTCACCTACAGTAATATCTGATACCAAATCTCCATTTGTTAACACTAAATCTAGTATGGCCTCTTTACGAGTTGGCTCCTCAACAACTTGTTTTAGAGACAATCCCAGTAGGGAGTTTAGAATATGTGTGCTCCTGGCACAAGTAGCTAATTTTGTTTTCCAATTTACATCAGGAAGATTAAAGTCACCCATGATGATAACTTCCCCCTTCATTGTCATTTTAGCTATTTCCTCAACTAGTAGATTATCTAACTCTTCAATTTGTCCTGAGGGCCTATAAATCACACCTACACGAGTTACTGTGTGATTACCAAATTCTAACGTAGCCCAAACGGACTCTATGTTTGCCTCACTAACTTTTATTAGGCTAGATTTTATGCTATCCTTCACATACAAGGCCACCCCCCCCTTTCTCTTGCCTTCCCTATCTTTCCTATATAAAGAGTACCCTGGTATTGCTATGTCCCAGTCATTTTTCTCATTGTACCATGTCTCAGTAACAGCGACTAAATCTACACTATCAGTTGCCATTATTGCCACAAGTTCATGGATCTTATTCCCTAAACTGCGAGCATTTGTAGACATGACTCTAAGCTTATCATTTTTTAACACACTTGCTACAGGCACCTTCTGTCCTTGTTTTGGGGGACAATTGGATTGATGTTTTATCACCCTTTTGCCCCCCCCTCCTAGTTTAAATACATCCTAGCAAAACCTCTGAACTGCTCACTGAGAACATTTGTTCCCTTTTGAGAAAGATGCAAACCATCTTTTTTGTACAGCTTATCTCCATTCCAAACAGAGCTACCATGAGAAATAAAGCCAAATCCTTGCTCCCGACACCATTCACCAAGCCACAAATTAAAGTCCCTAATACGCATCCGCCTGTCGTTCTGAGTGTTATGCACAGGCAGAACTTCAGAGAATGACAGTGTGGAAGCAACCTGCCGTATATCATTGGCAAAAACACTAAAAACTTCCTTAACCTCTGAAACCTCATTGCAAGCCAAGTCATTTGTCCCTAGATGGACAAGTACATCCAATTCCCCTTCCTGCTTTGCTTGCTTAACAATATTACAGATACGTCTCCTGTCTCTGTGAGCAGTAGCTCCGGGAAGACACCTCACAAGACCACCATTGTCCATCTCCACACCTCTTATAATGGAATCCCCCAACAACAACTGCTTTCTATTAGGCCTCACCATAGTCTCCAAGCCGTCTCCACAACACCACTAGTCCCCACAACACCACTAGCCTCTCTCCACAACACCACTAGCCTCAGTGCCTCTCTCCACAATACCACTAGCCTCAGTGCCTCTCTCCACAACACCACTAGCCTCAGTGCCTCTCTCCACAACACCATTACACTCTGAAAGTGCAGAAAATGAATTATGAAGAGCAACAGACTGTGCAAAATGCCTTTTATCCACAACTCTAAGCACCAGATCCTACAGTAATCCATCTGCCTTTCCTAGCATGTCTCTGCGGCAGTGGCTTTGCAGCAGTTCCAGTCTGAGTTTCTTCACCAGATAATTTACAAATCTCAGACTTCAAAAATACAATCTCCTGCCGCAAGATAGAGAACTGTCTACAGATTAGACAACAACCAAACCTCCAAAAAGTGGAACGTGAAACAAATGCATAGCAATTGTTACACTGAACTAAGCCTGCCATGCCAATTATAAGAATAATTTAAATCTAACAAATCTTAACTTTTTTCTTTATCCTCCTGAATACCTCAGATTACCTCCAGAATATCTCCAACTACACACTTAGAAACAGCACTCTCCAGAATATCTCCAACTACACACTTAGAAACAGCACTCTCCAGAATATCTCCAACTACACACTTAGAAACAGCACTTTCCAGAATATCTCCAACTACACACTTAGAAACAGCACTTTCCAGAATATCTCCAACTACACACTTAGAAACAGCACTCTCCAGAATATCTCCAACTACACACTTAGAAACAGCACTTTCCAGAATATCTCCAACTACACACTTAGAAACAGCACTTAGAAGTAGCACTAAGCTATATTAGACAAGCTAATGGAACCAGGCCTTATATAACTCCTAAAATCACCGCCCACTAGGAATGTTTAACACCTGGGTAGGCCTCTGCTTATTTGCAAACAATAGCTAATTAACCAGCAATCAACAGCAAGTAACTAGCTTAATCAAATCAAATGCCTTATAATTACCAACAGGAATTCAAACCTTGTGCAATCAGTAACCTTTTCCTACAGATGAATCTTACCTGTAACAGTAGAAAAGAAAACTCTTAGCACAACTCTTAGACAGTTGAAGCTTCTGTAAAACTCTCCAGAATATCTCCAACTACACACTTAGAAACAGCACTTAGAAGTAGCAGAAGTAGAAGTGCCGTTCTGTGTATCTGTGTGCTAGTCTGTCTGTGTATCTTCATGTGTATTTGTATGTGTGTTATTGTTTGTATCTGCATGTTTGTCAGTGTGCGTGTATGTATCTGTATGTGTGTCTGAGTGTTTATGTATCTGCATTGGTGTCAGTGTATGGGTATGCGTGTGCATGTGATTTTCTCTGTGAAAAATGGGTGCGGCAGATGCACACATACATTTCTTATGAAGTGGCCCACTGCTGAAACAAACTTGGACACCCCTGGCACATATTAATACATGGTGTAAAATAGACATAGCTTACTCATTTACGTATATTAATCTTTACACCCAATATCGGTGGGTCCTACACTCATTTTAACATGGGAGATTAACATGCTCACTCCAATATTTACTGCTTAAACTGCTTCCAAAGACTCTCCTCAGTTTATTCTTTCCTGGGGTCAGCTCCAAATGGACACTCATAATGAACGTGTGTGTTACTCAACCCAAAATGAATCTGGTGTGGATTCCAAATCTACACAGAAAAAAGGGGTACTGGAGCATTTCTAAGTAGTGGTGGTAAAGAACACTTTCTCCCAGCACTGCCACAGAGTAAAACTTGTTTCCATGGCATCCACAATTTACAAACTCAGAAATATTTCCCAGTGGCAGTACCCATTTAATTATTTACAAGAAGGCATGATCTAATAAACCGGTGCCTACTTTGCCTTAGCAAACAGTTGGCTGACTCCTGAGGGGTCCCTAAAATGGCCAGCCAGCTCCCAGCTCCCCCTAACACAACACCCAGCCAACTAGCGACCCCTGAATTTCTGCCACTGGCTGTGCCCTATGTGGCTGCCTAGTTGGAGTGCCGGCTTTCCCCAGAGCCAAGATGTAACATCACCACAGCTCCGGCATCAGTACAGAGCTCCAGGGAGCTAGGCTTTCAGTGTAGAGATGTGTGACTGCTATGCTACTATGTTTGTTTGTGGTGTGTGTGAATGTTTATGTGAGTGTATTGGGTGTTAGAGCCTTTTCAGAAGGACAAAACCATTCTCACCCCCAGGTACCAGCTGGTACACCTCAGAGGCAGAGAGGTATCTCTTAAGTTATAACCCCCGCTAAATAAATTCCAATGACTTCTCGAGGGAGCATTTGCCAAAGTGCTCCCCCAGTATTTACCATTGGTGCCAGGATTCAGGGGTGTGTTTGCAGGTTGGATTTGATCGCTGGGATGTATGACATTCTTTCACAGATATACATATACATTAACACACTTATACATGCACACACTGACACAAACAGACTGGCATATACACACAGATAAAACCACTGGCACATCCACACACAGAGCTACACACGGACATGTACACACAAGATACACAGACACACATGCAGAGGTGTATTTGTGTGCAGTGTTGGCATAGGAATGCTGGGATGAACACAACACAACACAAACACAGATACACACAGGAACACAGATACACTTGCAGTGGTGTATTTGTGTGCAGTGTTGGCACTGGAATGAGGGGATATGTGGATTGCCACACACAGTCAGATACACATTAATTTACATAGTTTAGCCACGCTTTTGTCTCCTTACCTTTATAGAAGGGTGGCTTCCCTGGAGTCCAGTGTGAGCTTGATGGCTGAGGTTGATGTGAGCCTGAGGAACTTTGCTACCTCAGTCCCTCTCCTCCTCCCCAGTGGCACTCTGTTACCTGGGAGGAAGTAACATCACATCACTTCTTCCCAGTAGTCAGGAAGACAGGGGTCGGTACACCTGTCCGGAGCATTCTTAAAGGGCCCCTGATTACTTCACCTGCTGCAGCCCACCGGGATATTTCTCAGTACCATGGTGGCCTCTTCAGACCTGTTTGAGGGCAGGGGACCCACGGGGCAGCTGCCTGGGGTCCCCCAGTTGTAAATGGTCCCTGGACAGCTGCCCTGTGTTAAAGACGGCCCTGCCTGGCAGACTCCCATCCAATCTGCACGTAAGCTACACATAAGTGTTAGAGAGGCTGGGCGGTTCAGTAAAATAGAATAAGAAGTTCCACAAACCTGCCTCAAAAGTACCCTTTTAATGCATGGATTTCCACAGTTCTAGAACCATCTCTCATTTATAAACTACACTGTATGGACTGTTACAAAAGCCATAAACAAAATCACAATTAAAATATAGTTTAAACCAATTCCATCCCCTACACTTCTCCAGAACAACCATGTATGTCTCTTGCTACAGTCAGCACAGTGATTTGTAACTTGAAATGCAGGGAGATTTTTTTTCAATTTGAGTTGGAGATTAAGACCATTGTTATTAACACAATAGGAACCTTAAAACCTGGAATTTAGTATAACAATACACCAATTATTTTTGGGCACATTAATAAAAGTCATCATTTGTCACCATTTAAATATGAATCTACTCAAAAGTAACAAGCAAGCCAAAGTTAATAAATAATACTAATTAGATACCTTGAATATGCTTTCAGTTTAAGCAGGTTAAATTAAAACTTCAAATACCATAATCACCATAATCCATCCATTAGTAAAACCATTTTAGAACAGTTTGTCTTTATTTGGAGTCTGCTTGGTGCTGCTCCCACCCCTACTACAGGCACAGGAGAGCAGGAATCGCTCAATCTGAGCTGGTCCAAGCGGTGCAGGGTTTAGCTCACTCACTGGCAGACAATGACACAGGAACGTTTGGCTCTCCTGTAACTGTACCAGGGAAAAGGGGGGGGGGGAGGAGGAGCTGCAGCGGACACCAAGTTACAATTCTAAAACCGTTTGACTACAGTGGCGTACCTCGAACATACATCTGATGTAATGGCATGATGAGGCAAATACTTGCTACCAGCATATGTGGAATATAACTCCAATCAACCTCATAAATAGTTGGCTGAGCTGGTTACGAATTTTAGTCTATAATAGCTTTATATATCAAGTCACCATCTTAATGGATGCAAAAAGAAAATGTAAAATATAATTAATTGTATAAGTCATTTCAGCCAAGTCTTAATTCCTAAATGGCAGAGAATTGAATAGTGACACTGCAGGGCACGATCTATACACCCAAACTGTTTCATCAAACTAAAGTTGTATTGGTGACTATAGAGTCCCTTTAAGTACCATTATTTCTAAATACTCATTTTATTAGAATTTTTTTTTTTTTAAACAAAAAGTGACATTCAATGCCATGTTCTTGTAGTTTCTGGGGCCAAGTACTATGGCTTTTGCCCAAACCTCATGCGATTTTATCATTAGCGCAGCATGTACAGAGCATGCCCCAGTGGAGGTGATTATTTCAGATTACTATGACTCAGTTGTAAGATCACAAGCGTTTTTTTTCCATTTTTCGTATGTTCTTACCTCAAAAGGAATAAAAAAATAAAATAAAGAAAATAAAGAATAAATTAAAACACAAAACATCAAAATGAAAAATAAAGAAATATCTCTCTTCCCTCTCAAATATTCTAAGGACAGTGTGTGCTTCTCTTAGAAAGAAAAATACAACATTAAACAGAGTGTGGAAGAAACACTAAGCATAAACTTTGTGATTCTGTAATATGTGGCAATCATTAAAAGTACAGTAAATTTTACAAGTTACAAAATGTGTATTCGTTCAATAACAATCCAGAAAGTCAGCGTGTGATGTTAGAAAAATCCATCCTTATTTTTCTACGAACAGTTCAGAAAAACAAATTGTTAAAAGGGGTTTTAATTTTTTTAAAATCCAAAAACATAAAAAGTGTCATCCTATTTGTATCTGCAGATTTACAGGTGTGTTATTTATAAAAGTCAATTTTAGTGCAATCACCATAGTAACAATGGAATGTTTATAATGATTGCTCTGCTTTCAAAACTTCGTGCCAGAATTTGTCTTTATAAAATAACCCCAAGCATAGGACGTGCATTTACTCAATGATGTGCTAAAAAAAAAAACGAAAAAAAAACACGCTTTTCCCTTTTTCAAGAAAGAAATTTAAAGAAACAAAACAAAATAACTGCACGAATCCAGATGAAAAATACTGAATTGTATAAAATGTAGCCTGCAGAATTAAACAATGCAAATCCACAGTACGCGTACGATAAATTACAATGTTATTAGGAATAAAACAAAGTCTGCAAATGAGGACTTAAGTTGGCCCTTCTAGTTTTTATTTATTTTTTTAAAGATTTGTGACAAAGCACACACAGCTCTAAGTTTTCATCGTTAACAAAATGTTACAAAAAGAAAAAACAAATTTGAGCTTTTAAAAGGATCACCATTTTAAATCATTGCATAACAGGAATGCAACATGTTAAAGCAAAGGACAAAACTGTAAAAGATAATGAATGCTACACTAAGATTTTGGGAATACCCAAATATAAAATCAGTCGGTAAACAAGTGACGTAAACATTTTTACCATGTAACGTAGGTCAATAATACTTCTGAATCTTACAGCATTTACAGATAGCGAACAGTTCTTCCAAATCATTCATGTTCTTCCAAAATATTTATATTGTGTAATCTTTCCACAATTTTTAATGCTTTGAGCACTTGTAAGTAGTCCTCCTGTATACGTTAGTAGTTAAAGACAGAAATTTGTTCATCACAGAAAAGGTAACAAGATAGGCTATGAACCAGGCATTATTTTATAAAAGTGCAACAGCAGCTATTTTCCTGGGAAAAATTTAAAGAGAATCAATTGTCAAAATTATATTATTGTCATAACTCATCGAGTGCAGTAGTTCTCAAATAGTGGACAGTTCTACAAGTTTATGGCTTGTATACTTTTAATGAATGTATTTCTCCATTAATTTATAGATCTTTAAATTAAGCAGCATTTGATTGAGAACCAAGTCTGATAAGGCTCTAACAGGGGAAGAGTCTTTAGTGGCTGTCTTCCTGTGTGTTTAACCCTGCCATGGAAACATCACAGTTTGTACTAAACAATGCTTTACATTGCAGAGTTCGAGCTAAATGAAAAATGCATACAGACCACCTCATTGAGATGAAGTTGTCCGGATGCCTCTAGTGGTCCTTTAGGTGAAGATCATGTTGGCTAATCCGAGATGCTGTCACATTGGCAGCTCAGCAGCTTAAAACCTGGGAATAGATGGTATCAAATGTAAATATATCTATTTCTTTTAGCATTTGGCCAATAAAATATTTTCAAACAAATGCAGTAATATCAAATGCCACATTTGTGTAGTTTCAGAGGCCCAATAATTAGATAAAATGAAATGCTCAGTTAAGATTAATTACCATGTAGGTCTTAAAGGATCACTATAGGGTCACGAACACAAACATGTATTCCTGACACTATAGTGCTAAACCCACCATTTAAGTGGCATGCCCCCCCACCCCCCTATAAAAGTTTAAAAAACTCCCCTTATTTCCAGCGCCGCATGGGTCCGCCAGCGCTGGCCCCGCCCCCTTTGTGACTTCAAAATGGGCGATTTTTTGGCCAATCCCATAGGGAAAGCATTGGATTGGCTAAAATCGCCACAGGGCGGAGCCAAATGCAGTTTTGGCCAATCAGGACCTCCGCATTAGATCAACGGGGGATGCTGAACGGCAGGGCTGCTTACTGTGCAGCTCTAAGCCAGGAAGCCCCTCCAGTGGCTAAGGAGTGGTGTCCCTAGGGGCAATGTAAACACTGACTTTTCTCTGAAAAGACAGTGTTTGCATTAAAATGCCTGAAGGGAGCTATTATATTCACCTGAACAACTACATTAAGCTGTAGTTGTTCTGGTGACTGCAGTGTCCATTTAACTAATGATACTTTAAAGGCATTCGGTCGTTACTTCTTGGAATTAAAACAAACAAAGGTAAGCATATCACTAACTGGACACGAAAGGAGAGAATGCATCTGGTAGTTAAAGGACTTAACTGCAAATGGCTTGAATACTTTCAGATATTGCCAGGAAAGTGTAATAAAATAGTAACAGATACTATTTTATTTAATCTTCTAGATGGAGAAAAAAAAAAAGGAAGAAAAAAAAAAAAACAAGTCAAAAACCCTCCACATAATTTAACTTTTCTGCTAGATGTTCTTTCTTGTAACTCATGAGTGGTTTAGTTGCAAGTCACTCTCTGGATACATATTTCATAGGGGATGATCTTATAATGGAATTTCAGCATTAAGGATCAATAAAACAGCCTGGGCATACGTTTGTAATATCAACAATGTGCAACATGTTTAAGTCTTGGTCTGTGATAGATTCCCTTTGACATTCGCTGGCTCTGTGCTACATATATGCACAACATCATTCTAGTGTTTAATGTAATTAGAAACCAAAACATTTCCTTGCAAAAAAAATAACAAAATTGTTAATGTAGTATCTATCTACAAAGTAAAAAAAAAATACATATTACATACTATACAGTGAAAAGTTTCAATCTGTAAATAGTTTACAGTCTGAAATACTTCAGCTCCAAGAATTGTCTTCACCTTCTGTCCCTGAGATTCTATGGTGTCTGCGCAGTGGGAGTGTCTTTACTCTTAGCACGTTGCCTATATGCATTCTCATAACCAATTAGGATAAAGGTGGCTGCTCCCACAATTCCTCTAAAAACCATTACATCTTTTATACACGTTAGTTCATGATTAGAGTGGGTCTTAGGGGCAGGTGAATGAAATTTGTTTAATGATGGTGTATTTATAGGTATTTTTTTTTTTGTTTTTTTTTTAGTCAGACCAGTCATTTTCATCAAACTCTGAATCATCCTCAGAGTCGCTGTACTCGACCGCTATGCGTCTGGACAAAATGGTGGCAACGTCATTTCCGACAGGCTCACGCTTCGCTTCTTGCTCACGCTGCTCTTGCACTTTTTTCAACTGAATTCCTGTTAAATACAAAATATTCTGAGTAAACATTTGAATTTTGATCAACACAGATTTTTACCATTAAAAAAAGTAATAACATTAGCATTATTTTCTGAAACATATAAATGATAATTATGCCTCGATTTAAAGGTATACTATAGGCATTTATACAACTTTAGCGTAATAATTATTTTATTTATTTTAGTATTTATAGAGCGCCAGCAAATTCCATAGCTCTGTACAATGGGTGTAACAGACACGTAATTGTAACCAGACAAATGGACGCACAGGAACAGAGGGGTTGAGGGCCCTCAATGAGTTTACATGCTACATGGAGTGGGGTATAGTGACACAAATGGTATAAGTAGGGGTAATGAAAGAAGTTGCTAGAAAGTATTCACCGAGAACGTATTAGGTTATAAGGTTATTTTTGACAGTTGCAGGAAATGAGTCATGGGGGGGAGTGAGGGGTTATGAAAACCCACTAACAGTTTATATGATATGCTTTCCTAAAGAAGTGTGTTGTCAAAGATTTTTTTGAAGGAGTGGAGACTGGGTGAAAGTCTAACGGAGAAGGGAAGGGAGTTCCGCAGAAGAGGTGCAGCCCTGGAGAAGTCTTGGAGGCGAGCGTTAGAGGTGGGAGTACAGACAGAGGATAGGCGTAGGTCTTTGTAGAGCGCAGGGGCCTCAACAGGACATACTTATGTATTAGGGAGGATAGGTAGGTTGGAGCAGTATTATGTAGGGACTTGTAAGCAAGCACCAAAATCTTCAATTGAGCACTATATCGAAATGCAAGGCAATATAGGGACTGACAAAGGGGGAGACGGGGGAGGTGCGGGTGGACAGGAAAATGACAGGAAAATGAGCCTTGCCGCCGCATTCATTATAGATTGCACCGGTGCAATCTGGGAACACGGAAGACCACTGAAAAGGGAATTGCAGTATTTAATGACGCGGTTTTAGTGTACAGATTATACCCCTTCAGTGTTACGTCTAATTTCTTTGCCATTAAGGAGTTAAACCACATTTGTTTCGGTTTATGCAGCCGTTGCCGCACCTCCCCTGTCTGTGACTCACACAAAATGGTTTCATTTTCAGAGGTTTAGTTGCTTTAAAAGTTTTTATGTTCTGCTCTGTAAATTGAACTTTAATCACACACAAGTGGCTCCTGCAGGGTCTAGGAGGCTAGTAACAGGGCAGGATATAAGAAATTCTAGATTAAACAGACAGGTAATATAGGAACGTAAAATATCTAGGTTATTGTTTAGAAAGGCTATACAAGTCGCATGCATGGAAGTGTGACTAGGGCTTTGATTTAACTCCTAAATGAGAGAGAGTTGAGCAATGGGACTGATCTATACATCAAAACCACTTCACTAAGCTAGAATGTTGCTTTAATGCCTATAGTGTCCCTTTGTTTTTGTTTTTTATAGAATCTTTTCTGATTCAAACAAATTAAACGGTTTGTCTAATAAAGCGCCGTAAACTTTAAGAGTGACTTCTGTTAAACATTTGAAAAGTTTTTTCAAACAGAATTGAATAATGTCTGATTCAAACAAATTAAAATTGAGGCTTATTTTAGGTAGCAGACTTGGGGCTAGCGGTCTACTTTAAAACAGAAACCGTGACTAATATTCAGTATTATCATATAATCCCTCACTGAACTGTTATGTTACCAGATCTCAGCTGACAACCACCGTTTTAGAAGATGGAGGGTCTGACCTTGTAATATGGAGGTCATAGTTGTTGTTCAGGCTACATCCATCACAGTGTCATTACAACAGGGTTATGTATAAGGATATGTAATGCTATGCTCATGTATAGTGCTCAGACACTTTACATCATTGCATGGATGAAGTTTGGCACTAATGACATCTCAAAGTAGACAGAGCAGGGAAACATTGGTTCCAGTCTCCCCAATGCCAAGCAACAGAATGATATAGCCGAACATAATGAGATAGCTAGCTATTCAATAGCCGATAGTGGCATTTTTATTAACGAGTAAAACCTTGTTTTTACTCTACACCTTCCCTCATAGAGGCACACTATATTATACCAGTGCATCATTTTTAACTTTTATAAATCATTTCATACCTTGTATATTATCCAATTAAAGGTCATGTGACTGTTTAAACACCAAATAACTACTCCTTATACCATATAATTGTCTTACTCCTGGCAAAAATACTTACCTAATATGGATATTCTGGAAACTACCTCTTGAAGGATCTACTCAACGTTATATTCCTGGTGGGGATCATACCACCAAAGCGTTATCATCGGAGTAGGATCTACTGCTCCACTATATGCGAGTACAATAATTATCTTTAGAATTTTAGCTATATTGATTACAGTGATCCCTATTGTCTGCTGTTTGTATCTTTTAAAATGTCTTCCTGTATCCTATAGGAGTCAATTCAAAGTACTAACCCATAACTACAAAGCACTGAACAATTCTAGCCCTCCATATCTCTTTATAGATCCATATGCCCCTTCTCGGTCTCTAAGCTCTGCCCATGACTACTCCTGTCCGCTGCTCGCACGCATACGGCCAGCTCACACTGGCAGGACTTCCCACGGGCGGCTCCCTTCCTTTGGAATAGCCTGTCTACTGCCATCAGACTCTCCCCTAGTCTTCAAATCGTTTAAGAAGTGCTTTAAAACCCATCTATTTAGGAAAGCTTATGGCCTCCCAGAGTAAGCTCTACCTCACATACCAGTCTCTTGCTCTCTCCTAAAAGGCAGCACTCTACTCTCTCCCCCAGCTCGGCTTCACTCCCACCTTATTTGATTGCTTTTTCCCATCATATTGTGTTTTACACCCCACTTTCTATAGGCTGTAAGCTCGTTTGAGCAGGGTCCTCTTCAACCAATCATTCCTGTAAGTTTTCTTGTAATTGTCCTATTTATAGTTAAATCCCCCCTCTCATAATATTGTCAAGCGCTACGGAATCTGTTGGCGCATTATAAATGGAAATAATTTGAAGTCTAGATGGCTACCAGCTAAGAACAAACTCCAGCTATTATGGACTTCTATGACTTTATATTGGTGCAACCGTTTGTATTTCCTTGCTAATGCAGCAGTGACAGTGAGAAATGAGAGGAGACGCACTCTGTTCTTATGCTTCCTGCAATTAATTGCCAGGTAGGAGAGAAGGTTTGTAATACAAAATAAATATCTGCAAATGGAGTTAGACTATTATGTGTCACTAGTATTCTCTAAAAGAATAGCAACAAACCTTTAAATCAGAAGCACTGATTAGGGAAGAAAACAAACATTCCAACCAGGAGAACAAGAGTAATTTGCCAAACTGTTTTAGAATGTTTTGACAACTTGCCTAGATCTTCAGGGTACCCGTACTGGGTCGGGCTTCTCCTGTCGCATGTCTTCACTGAGCATATTGTTCAGCTGTAACTCTAAACCAATGAGCATGGCCTTGCTGGAAAATCCAGAAGCAGGGCCTGGAGCCATGGGCGTTCTAAAACAGTTTGTCAAATTACTCTAGGAGGGTGCCAGGGTACACAAAAATAAAAAAGTTTCTAATCCCTCTCCAAAATGGAGAGTAGATAATGAGCACGTGCAGTCTTTTTTAATGTTTCATATGGCATGGTCCACTGGGCATTCTAGGGCAACATTTAGACATACCAGCAGGTGTGAAATAACAGTTGTTAGTTTTGCATGTCACTAGTTCTGTATGTGTGTGTTTTGTGCATTAAAGCCATTTACTATTCTGTAGAGTAAATCTACAGACTTTTTTTTTTTAATATAGTGGATCTATCCCTTTCTGTAATTCCTGCTTAGAATGCATATCCCACAATTTTCTGACAGAAATATGGGAACTGGAGATCACCAATAGCAGTAGAGCCAAAGCTGGAAATTGCAACTCTAGGTGGTACATAAAAGGTCATTGTAACAACCCCTTGCATGTGACAGTGAATCTATATGCATATTTTCTAGCTGGTCAAGCAGTTTGTGGTTTACATTAGTTTTTGCTTACCCATACGTATGGCAGACAGAAGATCACTACGAGCATCACTGGTCAAGCCAAGTATATGTGCACTCTCCATTCGCTTGGCTTCTAACACTTTGGAAAAATGCATTGGCGAAGAGGACATTGACAAAGCAGATACAGGAGGACCAGGCGGTGGAGGGGGAGGCCCAGGAGAGGCGGACATAAAAATCCCAGCAGGAGGTGGAGAAGGAACATACTGAGATCCGGATACATGTGCTGCAGGGGATCCAGGTGTTGGGTGCTGGAGAGGGCTGACAAAAGCAGTCTGAGCAGAAGGAATAACTGGAGGAGGTGGTGGAGATCCTGTAGGGTAGTACTCCATCTGTGTGGCATGTGCCTTCCTTAAAGGAAAAAAAAATAAATGTGTGTTAATTTAAGGTAACAATTTAGCACTATAGTCATACATGCAATTAAGTTTAGAAAGATTGTGTAGTTTCCACATTAGCAATCTGGACATTTATTTAAAGGATCACTATAGTGTCAGGAAAACAAACTTACAGCCCATAGGAAAGCAGTTTCGCATCCAGCGTCGCAGAAGCGCCTCTAGCGGCTGTCAGGAAGACAGCCACTAGAAGCTGGATTAACCCTGCAATGTTAGCATAGTAGTTTTTCTGAAACTGCTATGTTTACATCTGACGGGTTAAAACCTGGGGGACTGGCACCAAGACCAAGTTGAAGTGGTCTGGGTGACTATAGTGTCCCTTCAACCAATCATTGTTAACAGGAGTAGTCCCAGAAGATTGGAAGTTAGCGAATGTTGTGCCCATTCACAAGACAGGTAGTAGGTAGGATTCGGGCAAAAGTAGGCCAGTAAGCCTTACTTCAATAGTGAGGAAAGTAATGGAAACCATATTAAAGGATAGGATTGTTGAACATCTAAAAATCACATGGATTTCAGGATCAGAGACAACATTGGTTTTACTTTAGGGAGATCATGCCAAACTAATCTTATTGATTTTTTTAATTGGGTTACTTAAATAATGGATCAGGGTGGTGCAGTAGACATTGCTTACCTAGATTTCAGTAAGGCTTTTGACACTGTTGCACATAGAAGGCTTATCAACAAACTGCAATCTTTAAGTTTGGATTCCAATATTTTTGAATGGATAAGGCAGTGGCTGAGTGACAGGCAACAGAGGGTTGTAGTCAATGGAGTATATTCAAAGCTTGGTCACCAGTGGGGTACCTCAGGGATCTGTACTTGGACCCATTCTCTTTAATATTTTTATTAGTGATATTGCTGAAGGTCTTGATGGTAAGGTATGTATTTTTGCTAATGATACTAAGATATGTAACAGGGTTGATGTTCCAGGAGGGATAAGCCAAATGGCAAATGATTTAGGTAAACTAGAAAAATGGTCAGAGTTGTGGCAACTGACATTTAATGTGGATTAATTGTGGTTTACATTAGTTTAAATACATAAAGGGAATCAACATAGTAAAAGGTGGAGACTATATTTAAAAGAAGAAAAGCAAGAGGACAGTCTTAAATTAGAGGGGCAAAGGTTTAAAAATAATATCAGGAAGTATTACTTTACTGAGAGGGTAGTGGATGCATGGAATAGCCTTCCAGCTGAAGTGGTAGAGGTTAACACAGTAAAGGAGTTTAAGCATGCGTGGGATAGGCATAAGACTATCCTAACTATAAGATAAGGCTAGGGACTAATAAAAGTATTTAGACAATTGGGCAGAATAGATGTGCCAAACGGTTCTTATCTGCCATCACATTCTATGTTTCTATAACTATTTATTTCATCTGTTTGGTTTCTCAACTATTCCAAAGTAAAAGAAATGGCACATTAAATTAGCTGTGTGTGATAACAGAGAAATTCTAGTATATCACTTGGAATTCTGATGACTTCTGCAGTCACTGCATCTAACTGCATTAGACTGCAAACAAAATAAGGAATGGAGAAAAAGGCATGTGTTTAAAGTGATATGTATTAAAAAGGCAATCAGCTGAAAACAGCAACATTTCATTATTTACATAGGGACATTTCGTTTGGGATAACTTCCCATTAATGCTCTCTCCCTGCTGGAATCCAAGGCTTTGTGTTATATATACTTCCAGATTGGAGCTGCAATGAATTAGATGATGGGATTCTGTTGTAAAATGTGTCACAACCCAAGTGTGAATCCATTTGCATCCAGAGAAGGTAACCTCAAACAAATGTTTGATGCTCAGAATTCTCAAAAGCATGTTGTGCCCTAATTTAATTTATGGGAAACAGTACTGCTATAAGAGGAACCCTGCATAAATTGTACTACGTTATAGATTGCCAAGAAACTCCTCCACTTTATGACAAGTCAAAACAACTCTGATAAAGGGAGCTGGGCTCCGTGAGACAAAATAAACCATTTTACCGTCTAAAAGTATGTATTGACACTTACAGCATGTAGAGTTTTTTTTTGTGTGTAGGATCGATAGATATATACTGAGCTAACCTACCCTACAACACCATAAATGTAAACTGATATTAGGCATGAGATTGATGCAGGGGATTCCAAATAAAATCAAAACACTTACAGCAGACTCCAGTGACTAACTGTAGGTGACCCCATTACCCTGCACACTAACGGAGACAACCAGAAAACGGAATGTACCCAAAGAATGCCCGTATAGTTTTATTCTGGTTCTTACTGAAGAGTAATTCTGTAACAAGGTTGCTAATATCGAGCATTTCGTTGGAAAATCTCATTTGTTTCCAAAGGTACTTTTATACTTTTAGGACATTTGTCCTTAAAATTGATCTAACTCTCCATATATAACATAAGCAGACAACCACAGAATTATTACAATAACTCACCTGGGATCAGAAGATACTAGTGGAACTTGGTGTTGGCCATCTGCAGCTGGTGGAGGTGGTGGTGGTGGCTGTTGAGGTCTACTTAGGGTACCATGTCTTAATGTTCCCGTTGAGGACCTGTAGTCGTGTTCATGGTTCTGGTTGGAGGGGAGGTGATGTGAATCTCCTGACCCTCCATACGTAGGAGTCATGGAATGTTGGTGAATGGAGTGGTTTGGAGTTGGCGGATAGGAATAATCCGTGGCATCGGAGACGTGTGACCTTAAATAGAATAAAAGGAGAAAAATATTCAACTTTCAGACTTTCCAATTTTAACAGCAGCAAAAAAGGAAAGAAATATAATTTTTCAATATATTCTTAGCAATATATCGCTTTAGTGAAAATGTACACACAACACTTTCAATGTATTTCCAATCAAAGATTTTTAACTTGGAAGCCAGTTTCGAACTGGATTAAAATATTCATGCAAAACACTAGGAGATTCATTGTAATGAAAATAGTTTCTTTACAACACTTTCAGCAATTCTTACCATATAAAAGAGATAAAATTAGGTACAAAAGCCATAAGCAATTAAAAACAGTTTTAGTAGGAAGGAGTCGCGATATGAAAGGCACTTCAATAATCTAATCGAACGATGAGCAAGTAATGCAAGCAACATGTGTTAGCGGTTAGTCATGCAATTTTTACATGTTCTAACTGTAACACAGGGCAGGCAGGAGCAGAGTAAACTCAGTGTGAAGTAAAATATATGACCGACCCTCAGGAAGTGGCTCTTTCATGTCTCCTGCCTGGTCCCATTCCTGTGCGACTGAACTCAAACTCTACTCCATTGCTCTCTTCAATTCTTCAGGTCGTGGTTCTAATTTGCATTGTAAGTGCTCTGTAAACAGATCACGTCTCTCTCAAAATGTTAACACGCGCAGTGCAGAAGTTAACATTATCATGGTCTACATCACAGAGTTTCCACGTGTGTTTTTTGGTTTTAAATAAAGCATTTTTTAAAATAAGTGCTAGCATGATTTTTTATAATGACTTATACACAGATAATATAATATGTTATAATATAAGCAGGAATATGTATCCTCCAGATTCTAAACAAACCAAGATCCAATGTTGGATTTTGAGGGTTAATAGCATTTTTCTACATTACGTCACAAGCACAGCAGAAAAGTTGCTATATGAAACCTAAATACAAATTGTGATAAACAGGATAAAAACATAAATACAAAACATCTTGTTGTACCTTGAAGAACATTGTCTACAACCTTGTTCCTCCATCTGCTCTAATGTCCCAGAATTCTAGGTGATCATCTGAGAATTCTGAGAAATTCAGTCCAACAGGTGCTGTAGAACCAAGGTTGGACACGGACAAACATACTCTATGGCATTTTGTTTTTCAAAAATGAACTCCCAATGAAACTAAAAGATTTGGCATTTTATAACAAAAGGTTAGTCACAATGTCCTGTCCCTAATAAGCACCTACAGATATTTTTGGCAGCAACTGGTATGATGTATGCACTAACAGATTTCAAAGTATTATGGGAGTTATGAAGTACAAATGTTACCAACTTAATTTCTAGTATTTGGAAAGTGTTATATTACACAAAAATATATATTATATATATATATATATATATATATACTCATTGATAAATCTATCAAGAAACTGTACTATTACCTCTTCATCAAGCAGTAATTCAATATAAACAATACAATGCAACACAATTTAAAAAAAAATAATCAAATTTAACAATGTAACAATGTATAAAGTGTTCTACAATAATATTCAACACATAATGGAACAATACACAGAGAACTCATTAGATTAGTATTAATTAGGTTTCTTAAAAACAAAAATAAATCCAATAACAACTACAGCTTAATGAAGTGCTTACAGGGGTTGCTTAAAGGACCACTATAGGCACCCAGACCACTTCAGCTCAATGGTGCCAGGTCCACCTAGTTTTAACCCTGCAGCTGAAAACATAGCAGTTTACACTGCAGGGTTAATTCAGCCTCCAGTGGCTGTCTCCCTGACAGCCTAAAGGCCGCTTCCGCGATTTACTCGGAGTAAATCACACTTATTTGATGCTGGATGTCCTCACGTAGTCCAGCGTTAAAAAAATAGCACTGAGTAATGCTTTCCTATGGGCGGATTTGAATGCACGTGCATTCGGCTCCACGTGGGAGCGGATGTCAATGGAGGAGGAAAGGTCACCAGTGCCAAGGGAGCCTGGCGCTGGATTATAGTAAGCAAATAAATGGTTGATTAACCATTTATTTGCTGTGAAACAGGGCCCTAGTCACCGTTTCTATAGTGTTAAGAATAGATATTTGTATTCCTAATGTTATAGTGTTCTTTTAAGAGCATTTCTGTAAAGGAATTTGACAAAAAAAAAAAAAAAAGGGGGTTCTCATTGCACACCCACAAGCAGGTCCCTCTGTTGCCGTTTCGGTAATGTGGAAATGTTACTTCTCCATTAACCATTCAAAGATGTTCAACCTTGAAAGGCTATGGTAAGCTGTGTGTATTGCAGGCTTAACCTGGGCATTGTTAGACGGCTTTTAACAGATAATGTTAATGTCAGCATAGGGGTTGGGCTTTGGGTACACCTGGAGCCTCCTTTCTAGTCAAACCTTTAAAAAAACAAAACAAAAAAAATAAAAAAAACAATAGAAGGACAGCACCCAAAGACTCCTTGCATCATAAATATTACAATAAATAGTTATGGTCCTTAGTGCGCTTCTGCTGTATGTCATCTACCTCTGTGGTTTTCAATCTGAAATGCACCTAACACGTTATCACTTTACAGAGCGCAATAATAAAGGGACACACCAAACCCCATAATTTCTGCTCATTGCACAGCAAGAAAGCCCCATGTCCTGGGCTCTGTTCATGCACGGGCTTATAACTGCAGCAATGTGCTTATTTTATTTGCAACTATATGAATGCTCATTCAATGTCAATGAGGACAAGCCTGTACCCACCAAGCACTATATGTAAGCACTAAAGCAAAATGAAAGGAGTTAAAAGCATGCAGTAAAAAGTAATCAAAGCAATTGTTCACTTAAAATGATAACCTTGAAGGTATACATTTACAAGCCCAGTAAATAGAGTTTAGTCACACAATGCCAAATGTCTGCATCCCACAATGCTTAGTGTGAGCTTGTGCATTGGGTGGACTAGGATTGGGATTTTGGCCTGATGGGACCCCATGTAAAATTGCAGAGACACTAGGTTGACTAGGGTGAAATAGCCCACTAATGTGAATGTTAGTTGACTGGATAACTATCTTCAGTGATTAGTTGTTGCAGAGTTCCTTATGCTCTGGCATAAATAAAAATATCAAATATTTAGTAGATATCCCCTCAATGAAAGCAAGTGTGCATTGAATTAAGATTATTTTTTTAACTCTAAAATGGCTTACAAAAGCTGCAGATCTCTATCTGCAGCCTTTGCAAGCACCACCCTTCTTCCGGAGACTTTCTATGACTGTCCAATTACAGATTTCCCAATGCGGCTCAACAAGAAGTCTTTGCAGGTATTTTCTGTCTGTATGCACTTCTCTGTGTGCAGGTGCTTGGGGCAATTTTCTGCCTCTTGAGTTTAGCTCCACTGAGCTAAGCAACCAGGACATAAGAATTGTTTGTCTGAAAACCAGGTGGATGTAACAAGGTTGAGAGAGATAGATATATATATATATATATATATATATATATAAAAATCTAGATAACCCCTGCACTCCAACCATAACAAGATATATAAAATACCTGGTGCTCTGGTAGCTGGATGATATAAAACAAAAGTAATACCGGCACTCAAGGATTTTCACCACGAAAAATCTTCATTTATTGCGAAGAAAAAGAATCGACGTTTCAGCTCCTCACAGTCCTGATGAAAGCTCCTGTGAGGAGCTGAAACGTCGATTCTTTTTCTTCGCAATAAATGAAGATTTTTCGTGGTGAAAATCCTTGAGTGCCGGTATTACTTTTGTTATATATATATATAAAAAAAAAAACCACACAATTTCTATTGATATCTGCACATTCTTTTTTCTTCATTGTACAATGAGAACACACTCTTCATATATAAAGCACTCCAGCAAGCTCTAGGGCCATTTAAATGTATAGGATTTAAAAATGCTAACTTATTTAGCCTTTAGGCAGGCAATTTCCAGACTTCTTGAGAAACACAGAGCCATCTACAAGTACTGCAAGAAATTATATAGCGAAGACAAACTTCTGTGTTGTGAAAGGTGAAAAAAAGAAAATAAATTGTAACAGTTAAAACTTCACAGAAATATCATATGACTTCCTCATAAGAGGTCTTCTTATCTGAAGCATGTACAAGAGTAATTATTAACATATAAAATCAATACAAAAAAAAGTAAAGAAAAAAATAGATTATTTTGTTATACAAAATTTTTATATGTATCTTTCTAAATAAGTCAACAACTTGCCACTGTGTGGTTTGCCAAACAACAAAACCTGAACAACAAATTTTGATGGCCAGTGGTAGAAGTGCAGAAGGCGGCATGGTTCACACACCTAGTATCAGGAGAGAGAGATCCCTCGGACGAGGCTCCTTGGTATATGTTTGGGGACAATCTGTTGTCAGGCCGGAGCTCTTTGTCAAATGCCATTATGTTCCATTCCTGACGTCTGTTCCTAGCTTTTCTAACTTTTTTAACTTCACGAGTTGTGCCGTCCACACGTTTTTGTTCCTGACAAGAAGTAAAACAATAGAAAGATCAGGATGAGTGATAGAGTTAAAATGTGATGAGAGTCCTCTGTGGGTTACAATGAATCCATGTCAAGCTGAGTGAAAATAGAGCAAGGGATCTTTATGGAGCTAGTCACCAACTTTCCCAAACATGCATGCTAATTTTCTATTATCCAGTATTTACTAATGTTACTTCTGATTGTTTTAAACAAATTAATCTGTCTTCCTGGATGCCGTGGCTGAGCTGAATTGGGGAAGCCAAGCAGCCTGCAGGAGATGAAGGGGAGAGACAGGCATATAATTACTTATCTGTCTGTATACAATGTATCCGCCTATTTTATAACTGCACAGTAATTGCATTCCAAGGATTTGGCTCTAAAATGTTACTTTTTTCCCCCTCCCATCTCATATTCATTTGAGCATTATTGCAGGCCCTCAATTCCCTGCCTCTTCAGTTCTCCTTCACTTAGAGCAGGGAAGGGGGGCTGCAAAGCCGAGAAGTGCAGAAAAGTACTTGAAAAAATGCACTAAAGTAATTATTCAGTATGAGAATCATACTTCATGCTGACTGGTCATGAGCCAGCTTACTGAAATGGAAGGTTGTTGAAGTCTTGACAAAAAGACTAGCAGCAGAGGAGCTGCTAGTCAGAATGAAAAACTGCTTATAGTATTTATAAACCATACAAGAAGATGAAAGTTAAATGTACATTTTAATATAAAGTATAATTTGCATAATAATAAAAGTGATTTTTACCTGAGTGTCCCGATAAAAGGACACTAAGCACCATAACACACTGTAATGGTTATGGTTCAAGGAGTCCTCTGATGCGGTCTGATTGTACTCTGTCAAATAGTTTATGAATGGTTTGGACACGTAGTGTGATATTGCAAATGTATGAACTAATGCTTTATCATAGCAACTAACGTATACCAGGTGTGAGCATTGGCTGATATGGTCGACTGATAGCGCTAAGCTAGTGCATACTGTGTAAACTTGGCACAAGTTGGTATGATAATGCCAATGTGTAAACTTCTGCTTTAACCTACCAGCCCAAACAAGAAGGTCCACGAGGGGCTCAACACTAAACAGTAAGTGTAAATAACTTGTAAACAGTTTTATAGATTACGGTCAGATGCCACTCCTAACATTATTACCACTACAGCATACTGGTGGTTATGGTGCTTAGAGTGTCCCTTCAAACTGCTTAAAGGACCACTATAGGCACCCATACCACTTCAGCTGAATGAAGTGGTCTAGGTGACAGGTCCATCTAGGATTAACCCTGCCTGCTGTAAACAGAGAAACTGCTGTGTTTACATATGGGTTAATCCAGCCTCTAGTGGCTGTCTCTTTGACAGCCGCTAGAAGTGCTTCTCACTGTGATTTTCACAGTGAGAAGACGCCAGCGTCCATAGGATTGAGAATGCTTTCCTATGGGACTGGCTGAATGCGTGCGCGGCTCTTGACGTGCATGCGCATTCAGCCTATGACGACCGAAGGAGGAGGAGAGTCACCAGCGCCGAGGGAGCCCAGCACTGGAGAAAGGTGAGTGTTTAACCCCCTTCCTCCCGGCGGGAGTGGGGCACCCTCAGGGCACTATACTGCCAGTAAAACGAGTTTGTTTTCCTGGCACTATAGCGGCCCTTTAAAAAATATATATATATATATATATATATATATATAAAATTTTATTTTTTTAAACGCATTATGATTTTTGTGACAAATTTTAGTATCCACCTAATAAAAATGGGTACTTTTTAGATCAATATTACATATTTGCTGATGGAGGTCATACAGAATAATTTAGAGTGACCTTTACGGAGACATATTTCATGCCGTAAAATTGTCACCTTCTGTCTTCTCTTCTCTTTCCTCTTATCTTCTGTGTCTTGCAGCATCTTTTCTTTCCATAGGTCAAAGAAGTAAGAAGGATCCGTGTAAAACTTTAAACCATCTTTTCTGTCATCTCTGTGTGCACAGAAAAAAAAAAAAAAAAAAATTTAATTTCCATGTTTGTAAATGTTATTATCCACATTGTTTACAGTTAACCGATATTCAAAGTATTAAAAACAGTCTTTACCTCCCATGTTTCTTTGGAGAACAATATAATTATTCACTGAAGTGTGAAGTATCAGGAATAGTGAACTTGTCCCAAATTTAAAGTCGTGAGCCACAATCGCTGAACTGGAAAAAGTCTCAAAGAGAGGTTTTTTTTAATTCAGCTATTTTGGTCTAAAATGTATAAATTCCTGATCGCACAAGTCAGCGTTATTCGCTAAAGTGCAAATTGTTGGAAATTCCAACTGAAATCAGAATTTAAACCCGAATGGAAAAAAAAGGCGGCAAAAATAGACACGCATTGGATTTAATTTGCAAACATTCTGACAGGAAAAACTGACTAAAACAGCAGAACTGAAAGCAAAGAATTGTAAAAATCTTCAGTTTTGCCCTAAAGTAATAATATTTTAGTTTAATTTACCTATTTCTTAATTTTTTTAAACCATAACTTAAGAGTAGGCTTTCTGGGAAGAAAACAAGAAATGAAAATAAAGTTTATAGAGCGACAGAGGAAAGACAGCAGCCATTTTTTCTAAGAATAACTCCACCGCTTTTTAATGATCATCGTCATCATGCCTAAAATTTATGAAATTAAACAAACACTTAGCAAGAACCCTTCCACATCTTCACTCAGTGAATTAAGGAGTATAATTCCATGCATTAAAGATCCCATGAACAGTCTTCTAGTCCAGGGGTGGGCAACTTTGGCAGTCCAGACGATGTGGACTACATCTCCCTTGACGCCTTGCCAGCAGTCCATAACATCTGGTCTAAGTTGTCAAGTCAATGAAAGGTTGCAGAGCATTAATTGAACATTACACCCTTTGGGTTTATGGTCAGCGCAAGTTATTTTTGTACACACTCCCTTGTTATTATTTATTACATCAGACTATAACGATGCACACATTGAATACTTTTCTTCACTAACCTGTATGGTGAAAGAATATTCAGAGGAGGGGGTTTCTCGCAGGTGTTGTATATGTCAGTGATAGGATGTGGAACACTGCTCTTCGAGACCACTTGCTGATCTTGAATGGTTGAGCTTTTAAATGCTTTCCTCATGTTTATATCTTGCAATGAAACTGATGGAAGAAAAATTAAAAATAAACAAATAAAAAAAAAAAGTAAACACAAAGTGCTACATAACACGACATGCACATATAAAAAGAAAAAAAGAAAACTATAAATATAAAACAGCATAAAAACGTTTTATTTTCCTGCATCAATTAATCAAAACAAAGCACTCCATCAGAACACCTGTCATACTTATATGTGGAAATCATAACAAAAATGGATACTTCATTCTACCAACAAGTATTTTGTATATGCATGTGACAAATTTGGAGGAGATACAACGGTGAAAAGTGTACAGCTTCAAAACAATGCCATCCTAGAGTTCTGCAGACATTATTAATAAACCACAATATCAATGTTCAATTGTTTTAGAGCGGTCTCCAGAATTCCAACACAGCATTTTCCCATAATACCATGATCTGCCTGCTATGAGGTGTGTGGGTGGGTAAGATACTCTTTATAGACTGTATTTCCGTGTTATTAATTGAGATAAAGAAATGTCATTCTGTCTAGAATAACACACGTTGTTATTTTTTAATGTACAAATATAGTAAAATATCAAACTATACACATTCTGATAAAAAATAAATTAAAAAAAAAAAGATTCTTTTCCTACCTACAGAAAATACTAAAATACTTTTATTCAGTACCATCTAATATTTGAAAAAGGAAATTATCTAAAACATTTGAAGGATACCTCTCCAGAGGTCTGTCGACCCCTTCAGTCACACTGCAGTAATCTTTTAGTGAAACTTGGCAATAAAGAGAGCAATTATTTTAAGTTTCCAGTACAGAATACTGCGGGTGAGGTTTTCATAATAGTAGTACTGCATTTTTAAATTATGACATTTTTCTCTTGACAAACCTTAAATGCAGAACAGTTCTCCTTTCACATCATCAACGTATTAGAATTTCTGTTTCTTGATACAGAACTTTTGTCTAGTTAATCAAATACCGTTATATTTGTACAGCGCTACGGAATCTGACGGCGCTATATAAATAATAATATAATAATCTGTCAGTTGTTAATTACCATGACAAGCAACACCTTTGAGGTTCAGATTTTGTACAAAGACTGTAAATCCTGCACTGCCACATCAACACACACACTGACCATGTGCAATACAAGATATAATTTATGGTAACACAGAAGAAGTTATTTGGCTACAATACTTTGCTGCCCGTTATGTCCCTTATCTTGCAACACTCCCTTGTCCTTCACAGGGTGGGCATGTGTGGGGAAAGGAGTCACAGGGCAGAAAAAGGGCCATCAAAGGTAGAACATCTGTAACTGCCACACTCCTGAATATTGGGGCGGGTAAATTTAGGACACAGAGGCAGGGAGTACCGTAAAAACAAAGAAAAATGCAGATTAAGGAAAAGCGCAAACAAAAATAGAGTATAAAATTTTGCAATGCTACTTAAAATCACCTCATCCTAAACACATATGGGGATTCAGTTCCACCATATTGTAATATCATGTTGAGTCCACCACTATGTCACAGTAACCAAATAGTAGAGGGTCCTACACTATTTTGTTTTGCGTGGGAGACAAATTAAATTTCAGAAAATAAACTAAACTAGAGTGGAGACAAGACCAGATTCGAGAGCATTGTTAATGTGGGTGTTAGTCAAATCAAAAAGATATAAAGGATTTGCATGTTCCTCATGCATGTATGAGGTTATGGTAGTCATCCCAAAGGCCATGTATTTAAAAATTGATTCTTGGCCTACTGAGCCTATTGAAAAGGCTTCCATGAGATGTTGATAGGCAATTAAGGACTATTAAAGGGCCACTATAGGCACCCAGACCACTTCAGCTTAATGAAGTGGTCTGGGTGCCAGGTCCTGCTAGAGTTAACCCCTTTTTTTTTTCCAGAGAAACTGCTATGTTTACACTGAGGGTTAATTCAGCCTCTAAAGCCTCTAGTGGCTGTCTCATTGACAGCCGCTAGAGGCGCTTGCGTGCTTCTCACTGCGAAAGTCACAGTGAGAAGACGCCAGCGTCCATAGGAAAGCATTGTAAAGGCTTTCCTATGAACTGGCTGAATGCGCGCGGCTCCTGAATGCGCATTCAGCTGATGACGTCGCTAGGAAGGAGAAGAGGAGGAGGAAAGCCCCCCCGCCCGGCGCTGGAGAAAGGTAATATTTTAACCCCTTCCTCTCTCCAGAGCCCGGCGGGAGTATGTTTTCCTGGCACTATAGTGGTCCTTTAAGTTTCCAAATCTTTTGTCAGTCTTAGTAGTGACAATGGAAACATGACAAATGCATTGAGGATTAGGCAAGCATTTCTGGACCAAATTAAGGCTTGTGGAGCATCTCCAACACTGTGATATAATGGAGGAATAAGCTTTAAACAGCCTGTGTGGCATTAGATGTGACAGAAACAGTAAATTAGCATGCTTGGCATATAAAGACCAGATGGGAAGAATGTGCATTACCAACCATTACAAAATCTGTTTTTCAGCCTATTTAGGATGTGGATTTTGCATATATGCAGTTGGTAAATTCAGTTTACATACATCGTAGGTGCTCCTAATACATCATCCAACATGACGTCACAAAACGTGCCAAACAGAGGAGGCGGCGGCAAGATGCAGGTTTGGCACATTCACAGTACAATATGACATTTTTAGGTATGTTCTTCTACATCTGAATGGCGTCCCCCAGAAGACACTGGCTTTGATGCAGACATTTGTGCTGTAATTGTCCATACTTCTAACATTCTTCATTTTCCCCCTGCCTAATGCCTCACCTCTCAACCCACTCATTACAAATCTTTTTCTGCCTTTATCTTTACTTGCATTCCCTTTCTGGACTCACTGTTTTTTCAGCCAACAATTACATATTCATTCTCCCCTGCTTTCTTTCAATCTTCACACACTCTTTAGCCAATCATTTATTAGGTAACCACTTCATAAGGCTAATTAGGTCTCCCGTCTAACAGCAATGGGCAATCTCTACATTATCAGCAAAAGCAGCTCCTTCATGTAACTAATATGTCAACTGAAAAGCATTTCTCAACCAATCGCTGCTATTGCCTCTATCATTCCTTTACTCACACGAGAAAAAGAAAAAGCATGAGTAATAGACCGATATTAACTCTGCTTTCTTTACAGACAAAAATAAGTAGGTAAGTCCCCTAAAAACCCATTACTCAACAAATCACAGAAAAACAGTGCAGATCTGCTTTACTTCTTATCTTTTTTTTTTTTTTTTAACAGTCCTTTAAAGGGACGCTTTAGTCACATGAACAACTTTAGCTTAATGAAGCAGTTTTGGTGTATATTACATGTCCCTGCAGCCTCACTGCTCAATCCTCTGCCATTTAGGAGTTAAATCCCTTTGTTTATGAACCCTAGTCACACCTCCCTGCATGTGACTTGCACAGCCTTCCATGAACACTTCCTGTAAAGAGAGCCCTATTTAGGCTTTCTTTATTGCAAGTTCTGTTTAATTAAGATTTTCTTATCCCTGCTATGTTAATAGCTTGCTAGACCCTGCAAGAGCCTCCTGTATGTGATTAAAGTTCAATTTAGAGATTGAGATACAATTATTTAAGGTAAACTACATCTGTTTGAAAGTGAAACCAGTTTTTTTTTTTCATGCAGGCTCTGTCAATCATAGCCAGGGGAGGTGTGGCTAGGGCTGCATAAACAGAAACAAAGTGATTTAACTCCTAAATGACAGTGAATTGAGCAGTGAAATTGCAGGGGAATGATCTATACACTAAAACTGCTTTATTTAGCTAAAGTAATTTAGGTGACTATGGTGTTCTTTTAAGTTATTCCTGTGTATAAAAAGGTTTTGTTATTTATTACTTATAAAGCCTGAGCACTTTACACCAGGGAAAACACATTGAGTTTTATTCACTAAACCGATAATTGCCAATCTAAACTTGGCTATCTGGGCCTAAAATATGCAATTCTCCACAATACCTGATATAGTGAAAAAAACATTATTTATAATTTACTTTACCATGGCTAAAATTTATCCGAAAATTGTAAAGAAAGCATTACATTTGTGGAGAGTTTTAGCGTCCATTGATCATGGGGAGAATTTATTTTTATTTCAAACCAGTGCTTTATGATATATATTATTTTGATAGCTTCTGATCTCCAATAAAAATCTGCGCAGGATGTAATAGTCTTTTCTCATTATCGCGTGGGGGTTTAGTTTAAAACATACCGTTTCCCCAGTCATTTGGAGTGTGTTTTCATATAAATGATTGAGATAAAGTTCATGACAATATGCTGTCTGCCAATTAACGTTGGAAATAGCAACCACACGATCTGCTTCTTGGAGAAGACAACACAGGACTCCAGCTAAGAAGCAGCTATTACCATGTAATTAAGAACAGTGGTTGTTAATGCATCCCTTCCAATACACTGATTTCATGGAGTTACCCACCCTCTTCCACTGTTGAATCCAGCTGGGTGACTTTGACGGCAAGGCGATCAATTCTGTCTTGAAGAGAATTCGCTCTGATGTAGAAATTGTTTGCCTCATTAAACAACTCGCCAAATATGTCTTCAGCATGTTTGCCTGTCAGAAAGAAAACACATAAAAATGTCAACTAGTCTAAAGTACTCAAAATAAAAGCCCTTTCTTCAAAAACCGTATCCTTGCCTGACATTTTCTACTTCAATTATATGTTTATTTTGTTATTATATTATTTGTGTGTGCACGTAAAAAAAAGATGTGCAAAAATTAGTTTGGATTTTGCATTCGTCTGAATAAAATTCTTGTTAAATTGATACTGGAATAAATTACCGTATTTGCTTTAAAAAAAAAAAAAAAAATTCTTCTGAAAAAGTCTTATAATCAGACCTCCGATCAGCTCCGCACAGTGATCGGAATGGCGAACAGAACACAGTTTTACAGATGCACTGTCATCCTCCTGTAACTCCGCCCATCACGTTTGAGCTCCAACTCCCTCTAATCCAGTTTGGGCAGCACAAGATCAAAGTATAAACTGCATGAACATGGCCATCTCAAATCCCCAATGAGCAGAGAGTTAAGGGGGAAACAGCCCATGTCTGAGCACTCTGTGCTGTATGTTTGTGGATCGAAGTACGTAGACTATGGACAGACAGGAGACCCACTGCATCAACTCCCTGTCCAAACTGGAGGAACTGCGGTGGAGAATCCACAAGGTGTTCGGGGTGGACATGAAGATACAAAGTCTGTTTTACAGACAGGGAGATATAATACATATAATCTCCACACAGGATTCAATGAATGCCAAGAGTAAATTAGATCCTCCTTCTGTTTAATAGACATCTCTCTAAGAATGGAAATGATCTGTAGTAGTTAGCAGCCAATTCCTTTATGTTAGTTAGATCTAAAGTGTGTGTGTGTGTGTGTGTGTGTGTGTGTGTTTTATTGTGTTTTTTTTTTTTTTTAATACCATAAGGTAGTCTTGCATTCAGGCCCTTTTCCCTCCCCCCCCCCCCCCCCCCCCCCAACATCCAAATTTGGGGAGAAGGAGGGGTCTTCATATAATCTGGGTCATCTTATAATTAAATAAATATGGTTATTCCTAATCAACATCATGTGTAGAATACACAGGTAAAAAGATGTGTTATCTATTCATTTAACAATTACCAAGAATTGTATTTGGCCGAATCGCTTCTAAAGAATTTTCGCACATGTCTAATTAAAAACTGTGTGTCATCCACAGGATTTGACAAATGCTGTCTGGATTGTGCTAAAAATAAAAATAAAAAAAAATATATATATATTTTTAATTGAATACATTCTACATATTCACCAGTACACGCTAAAAATAAAAGGAAACCAGATTTAAATTATTCTTTACTCCCGGATGATGACAGTGAAATTATATCTCCAAAAGAGCTCTAAAATCGGTCAAACATACCTGGCTTCTGGAGAGCAAAAAAAAAACGTTTTGGACAGAACTCATGATTAACAAATTTAAAATTGACAGAGATGCAGATTACTTATGTTTAGGACATTTACTAGTGATTTAGTAGCCTAACTGGACATGAAGTTAAAATACAAATTATTCTTTATATGTAAGCAAGCAGCCATAATCCCGAATTACACACACACACACACACACACACACACAAAAACAAGAGAAAAAAACAAAACAAAAAAAACACAATAACAAAACATTTACTTAGACTACTCAGCTGTCGGATGATGGCAGCAAGTGTGCTATTGGTAACACATTCCAGTTCACTGGTTATACCATCTGGGACCGGTCCACGGCAAAGATGCTTGGGTTCTATATTCCTCTTAACCAGAGGCATGGCTTCGTAACTGCAATAACAAGAAAGCAGTGTTAACGGTTTGGACTGGTTAAGGGGTTTAAAGGTAATGTCTAGGGGCAATTCACAGTGGGACTGGGGTAACTGACAAAACGGGTTGCATGACAATGGTAAGGAATATCCAGATGTTTCCCCAGATGTTTGGACTGCTGGTACTCTGAGTCATTATACTGAGGGTTAGGGTGGATTAAACGGTTACTCCAACCACCATGACCACTTCTGTTTTTAGTAGTGGTGATGGTGGAAGGAACCTGCACGTGCAGAGTTTCAGTTTGAAAACAGAGTGATATGCACTTTTGTGCAAGGGGTTACTTTCACCACTGGCACACGTGTCCAGTGACAGTTTTGGGCTGCCTTCTGTGCAAAGATTTCATCTGTTGGCAGTGCACACTTCTCACTGGTGACACCCCTCCTGCTCTCTTGTGCTCCCTCCCAGCTTAGACTACATTGTTTCTTTGTTTTTTGTTTTTTATTTAAAGCCTTCCATCTTCCCTCTCCCCAGCTCAGAGAACGAGCATGTTTTTTGTTTTGTTTTTTTTAAATTGAAAGCTCTCCCTCTGTCCACCCTTGCATGCACTCTGAGCCTGGGAAACAGTCTGATCTACGAGAGATTTGACTGAACCTAGGAGTGACAACAGAAGGGGAGTGGAATGTGGCACTGAGTTCCAGGTACGTTTGATCGTATTTACTAATATTTAAATATTTTTAAATAGAAAAGGCAGGTGGACAAGTGTAATTGTGCCTGATAGGGCATTATAAAGTAAAAGGTTATAGTAACCCTTTAAGGCTACATAGGATAGGGTAAGATTAAGGAACCACATGTGTACGGTTATAGGGGGTACAGATATAGCTTTATAGAATATATAGAAACATAGAATGTGGCGGCAGATAAGAACCATTCGGTCCATCTAGTCTGCCCAATTTTCTAAATACTTTCATTAGTCCCTGGCCTTATCTTATAGTTAGGATAGCCTTATGCCTATCCCACGCATGCTTAAACTCCTTTACTGTGTTAACCTCTACCACTTCAGCTGGAAGGCTATTCCATGCATCCACTACCCTCTCCACTGCACATATCTGGGGAGGGATGTGCAGTGGAGAGGTAAGAAGTAGGATTGCTGTGGCATTTTGTTAAGCCATGCATTAAAGGCATAGCTACATTTTTATTATTAAAGAAGCACATAAAAAATAAGCATAATTTGAACACTACAGCACAGACAAATACTACTGCTAATCGTGCATATCTGTTCATGGGCACAGTATACGGCTTTTCAGATGGATAATTCCAGCAGGCTAATGTGCCAAGTCATAAAATACACATCACCTCTAGCTGATTAAATAAGCACAGCTTCAGTTTACTCCAATGGCTGGAATCCCCATTATATGAGAGCAGATGTCAGAAAATCTGCAAAAAGTGCAAGATGTATTGAACCCATCTAGATCTAAAACACTAAAGCGTACCTCCACCTATTTCAAACCACAAATAATCAGACCTTTTTTTCTGTAGTAACCGAACACTCTGCCTGTTCGACAGTGCCCTCCATTAGTATTGGCACCCTTGGTAAATACAAGCAAAGAAGCTTGTGAAAAATGCATTATTTAACCTTTTGATCTCTTGTTCAAAAATACACCAAAATACTCAGCTCTCATGTGTTTGCAATTATTTGATACCCAACGCAGTTTTATAAACAAATTAAAAAATAAAATAAAATAAAAAAACGCTTTGTTAAATAATGTGTGGAACAATTATTGGCACCCCTATGAATTCTTGAGAAATATATCAACTATGTTCCCATTGATATTTGAAATTTTTTAGAACACCTGGATAACGAAGAACAAGTTGTTCAACCAAGACTTCCTGTTTCACAGGGGTATAAATAGGAGTAAAAAAATAAAATAAAATAAAAATGTCTCTTAGTCATTCACCACAATAGGTAAGATCAAGTAGTATAGCTTTGATGTGCGGTAAAAGATTTTTGTACGGCAAAAGGTTGTTTAGCTTAAAAAAAAAAAAAAAAAAAAAACTGGGAAGTGGCTATAAGAAATTAGCAAAAGTGCTGAAAATGCCCATTTCCACTATCAGGACAATAATCAAGAAGATGCATTAAACTGGAAATGCTATGAATAAACCTGGTCCTGTATCTCTATTGTCTCAACACACACTGGAAGAGAATGGTTTGATGGGCCACAAAATCTCCAAGGATCACAGCTGAATAATTGAAGTTAGTTGCATCTTGTGGTCAGAAAACTCCAAGAGTACAATCCGACATCTACTCTCATTCAAAAAAACTCAAGCATCTTTAGTTTGCCAGACAGTACTGGAACTTCAAATGGAATCTGGTTCTATGGTCAGATGAAGCCAAAATTGAGTTTTTTGGAAAAATACCAGAGGTGTGGTTGGTGCACGCATATGTATCCATATGGAGAAGTACCTCATGCCATATGGTTAAAGATGGTTGCGGCTCTTCTGTTTTGGTGCAGTTTTTTCGGCCACAGGACCTGGATATTTTGTAAGGCTATATGGCACCATGTACAAACACAAAGATAAAGCACCGCGCTTACAGCAGCTTAGTATACAACAGCTTAAAATTCATAGTAAAAACAAATAGAACGTTACTTGCGCTCTGGCCTAAATCCCCATGTACATTTAAACAAAATGGAGGCTCTTTAGATTTATTCAAATGGCCATTGGAATAAAACTAAAGAGCCTTCATTTTGTTTAAATGTACATGGGGATTTAGGCCAGAGCGCTGGTAACGTTCTCTTTATATGGCACCATGGACTATCAAATATGAACAGATTTTAAATAAATTGCCAGAAAGCTTAAAATTGTCTGTGGTTGGATCCCCAAGCAGGGCAATGATCCAAAACATACATCAAAATTAACACAAACATGGTTTACGGACCAGCTAATCAATGTCTTGCCATGGCCATCCCAGTCCTCTGACTGAAACCCCATAGAAAACCTGTGGGCTGAACTGAAGAGGAGAGTGCCTCAGCGTCAACCTCAAAATTTAAAGGGATTTAAAGAGATTGTGTATTTGGGAAACGTCTCATATCCCTTGCCATGAATTATCCAACGTCATCAGGAATTATAAGAGAAGACTCAGAGTGGTTATCTTGGCAAAGGGAGGTAGCACAAAGTATAGATTAAAAGTGTGCCACAAACTGTGCCATGCACATCATTAAAGATTTTTAAATAAACCTGTGCTGTTTGCAATCCATGAAAGCAGAGATCTTTTGTGTATTTTGTGGGGGAGTGAAAAAAAAAAAATCAAAAAGGTTAATCAACAAAGACAATTTTTCCACAGACGCCTTTGCTTATATTTACCAAGGGTGCCAATATTTAAAATAAATTATATTTTTTAAGCCATTGCCCAGGAGAGATATCACTCCATAGTTCAACACCAGTCAAGTTTTACTGACATTTGCACAGGACTTATTTACGTACTGTAATTTATTTCTATCCCACCAAATAAGAGAAGCCTAAAAAAAAAAAATGTCAAGAAAAGAAATTCTCTCATTTTTTCTGTTAAACCAACTACATGTGAGCTTGAAATTCAGTAATGTATAAAATGAGACAGAACATCTTGTAGGGTATTCCTCTAACCGAATTAACCAAGCCAGAAATATACAAAACAATGGCTAATTATAAAGCATACCTACACACAAGGAACTGTGTTGACTTGTTCTCAGCCTACACAAATGAAGTAGATTAAAGTATTACAAAAAGAACATGCTGACATGTTAATCCCCTTCTTACTGAGGGAGATGCTCATTCTCCATCTATTTCATTCCAGATGGCACACAATACAAAAAAATAAAATTGCACAATAAATAATATTTAATTACAGCTGGTTCATTGTATTTGGAAAAACCATATACATAGAGATATTTCACTTTCTCCCAAGGTCGAGGTCATCCTGGAAAACAGATCTTCAAGTACAATTCATGATCCAGTCGGTTAACAAAAGTCATTGCTCACATGAGTGTCTCGGGATTGTGTGTGCATTTAATGAGCCGTCCCAGTTCACTCATAGAACTGACAGAAGTAATTTGCGGATGATCTCTGAATGTGCCACTAAATGGACAAAACTAGCATAAATTTGTCAAAAAAAACTATGTTAGATTTGCACAGAATGCATAATTTTTAGAAAAGGTTTTAAAACAGAAAGCAAATTTCTCTAAACTCTGCAAATTTTAGATATCAAAATGGCAAATTGTGATGAGCAATTCCAATCGTTTGATGCCCGAGATATGTAGATCTAGACACTGAAAAGGCAGTGTTTCCATCATTTTAGTAATGCTGTCTGTGGATAAGAGATAGTGACCTTGCACTTTATGGATATGTGTGGGCAAATTTCGATGCCATTATCGTCTTGCTAGCAAGCATGGCCACATCACACTGCCAAAGTCTAAGGGAGTCTGGGCAATGCGAGAGCTTTGATTATGGTATGGTCTCGTCTCCAGATGCACAAATTCTTATTGACAGGACCAAACCTGGCCATGCCACGAGACTATTTTCCACCTTTTTAAGGCAATTAAGTAATGAATTATAAGTAATTATTTAAAACAAACATTTATGAAATAGTCTTCTATACTTCTCTCACACACACAGTGACCCACACACCATGCATACATTTACATCATGTACTGGAAGCATATCCCATACATTTAAACATACAGACAAGGCATGTCTTAATTATTTTGTGTGTCACAACAAGAAGATCGTCAAAAGTAGTCTAGGCTACCACAATTCTTCCCAGTGGTGTAGTCTGGTTTTGTGCTGCCCTAAGCATTACGAAACTCCGGCACCCCCACCACACCCCTTCTAAATTTATCTTCCTGGCAGACACACACCCTCACTGATGCATACACTGACATACATTCAATTATAGATACACTGTAATTGTTACACACACTATTTAACCAACACACACTTCCACTGAAACGTACACATTCACAGTTAGACACACACACAC